CTGTTTTATTTTATTTTATTTTTTTTTCAACGTTTATTTATTTTTTGGACAGAGAGAGACAGAGCATGACGGGTGAGGGCAGGAGGAGACGACAGAATCGAACCTGGTGAACAGCTCCAGGCTCTGAGTATCAGCCCAGAGCCCGACCGGGCGACTCACGGACCGCGAGATCTTGACCTGGCTGAAGTCGGACGCTTAACCGACTGTGCCACCCAGGCGCCCCGATTTGCTGTTTTAAAATTTTTTTTTTTTTTAACCTTTATTTATTTTTGAGACAGAGGGAGACAGAGCATGAATGGGGGAGGGTCAGAGAGAGGGAGACACAGAATCGGAAACAGGCTCCAAGCTCTGAGCCATCAGCCCAGAGCCCAGAGCCTGGCGGAGGCTCGAACCACGGACAGCGAGATCGTGACCTGGCTGAAGTCGGACGCTTAACCGACTGCGCCACCCAGGCGCCCCGCGATTTGCTGTTTTAGAAAAGGACTTGAAATCGTGTGGTCTTTCCACACCAGAGTACCACTTTTCCCTCTCTCTAGATTATTTTTTTCTTCAAGATTTTAAGAATGCCCCATATCCAACATGGGGCTTGAATTCACAACCCTGTGATCAGGAGTCACACACTCCACCAACTGAGCCAGCCAGGCGCCCCTCCCAATATTTTTTATCATTGAGATAATAGACTGACTTCATAAACTGTACTTTTTTGCTGGCACCTGTTAAAGCTTTGCCTTCCTGTTACTGACACAACCACCCATAGACAGATGTGTTAATTTGTTCAGCAACCTCACAAAGTCAAGATTCTAAAAGTTAAATCCCAAAGAACACTGAGAGCAGTTCAGCTTTTCTATGAAGGCGTAAAAAGGGTTTAGAAACAGTGAGTCCTCTATGAAAATAAGGAGTTTTCTGTTTTGTTCATTTAGGTATCCAATGAACCTGGCAATCGTTACAACCTCCAGCTCATCAATGCACTGGTGCTCTATGTAGGGACTCAGGCCATTGCACACATCCACAACAAGGGTAGCACGCCATCAATGAGCACGATCACCCACTCGGCTCACATGGACATCTTCCAGAACCTGGCTGTGGACTTGGACACTGAAGGTGAGTGAAACTAGCCAATTCTCAGAGTTAAGTTCTCTGTACTGTTTGCCACAGTCTGGTCATAGAAATACTTTGTCATAATAGGCATATAATATTTTGTTAGTCTGTTTATGGCTCTATTTTCTTTTTTTGGGTGGTGGGGAAACTCTTGCCGTGAGTGTATAGTGGAGTTTTCCAGAGGCTACAGGAAACAATACTGGAGCAGACTGAACACAGGATTAGAAGAATCCAGCTGTCTCCTATTAAATGACATTAAATAGATCTGTGAAATTAGGGATATTCTTCCCTGATTTTTTTTGGGGGGGGGCGGGGAATGCTTTTATTAACATGTATTAATATGCAGGGTATCTGTTTTTAAATATTTCTAAAAATTGTAATGTGGAAAATAAAAAAATAGATCTCCCAGAAGTGGAAACCTGAGAACCACTGGTTGAAACTAAAGGACACAGGAAAGGCCAGGATCCCAAATCCAAACCCTAGCCACTCAGAATGATGTCTTTTTGCCTTGGCCTCTCAGAGCAAGTCTTTAATAAAGTTTGTTTTCTGAATTTCTAGGTCGATATCTCTTCTTGAATGCAATTGCAAATCAGCTGCGGTACCCAAATAGCCACACTCACTACTTCAGCTGCACCATGCTGTACCTTTTTGCAGAGGCCAACACTGAAGCTATCCAAGAACAGATTACAAGGTAAGGGAGAAGTTTTTTGGATGATTCTCAATGGTTGCCTCTTCCCCTTAACTTATGTATCAAGTGTGTTTTCTGTGCACTGTTCGTTGAGATCTTCTTTGTGTCCATTTAAAACATCTTTTACATGTGGGATATGGGATACAGTAGTGAACAAAATGTACATTGATTCCTACCCTGGTAATTAGTCTGATGGACACAGAATTACAAGTAGAGAATTGCAAATCATAATCATTGCTAAAATAAAAAGGTTTTGACAAAAGGTATAGGTATCTTGATTGAAAATCAAGTTTCTCTCAGATGGTAGCGATAACGTTTTTATCCAGAGTCCAGAATTCACATAGGCCTATTAAAAGGCATTTTGTTAAAGAGTTTGGGCTTTTTCCTTCATCCTCTAGGTTGAAAGGTTTGAAGGAGAAATAGAGGATTGTACTTGGCGTTTGCCTAATGATAAACTACACCAGAGATTAGGCAATGGGTGGATTCTGGTGAGAGAGATACACATTTTAAAAACTGGACCAGACTTTAAAAACTTGTCCCTTCACCTAATAGTTTGTGTATTACAGTATCTCATTAAATAACATCCTTATTTTCACACATACCTAGGTAGTATTAGAATTCATTTCTTTTCACTGGTTGTGCATTCCTTAAGTAGCTTTCTGTGAGCCATGTAATCTCATACTATTATCCTTTAACTTAGAAAACCTAGATTTGTATCCTGCCTCTTGCAGTTAGTGAGCCTGGAAGACTAATTCGGAATCCACCTGCATTAACTGCGATATATCGTTTAGACCTTAATCCACCTGTCTTCAGTAAAGCTAGTAACTTTTGCATGTAGTTTAGTAATCAAGGAGAAAAGATAGGAATAAAGGTAAAGGAGAAGTGTTCATAAATTTCTAGGTTTCTCTGTGCATTAACTCCTCTTTTCTTCCCTTCAGGGTTCTCTTGGAACGGTTGATTGTAAATAGGCCACATCCTTGGGGTCTTCTTATTACCTTCATTGAGCTGATTAAAAATCCAGCGTTTAAGTTCTGGAACCATGAATTTGTACACTGTGCCCCAGAAATTGAAAAGTGAGTTCAAAGTGATTTGTCTAAGAATGAAACAGATGATGGCTCTAGCTAGGGTGGGTGATTAAGAGGGTAATAATAGCCAGAGCTAATGTGACACAAGGGATTGCCAGGCCTCAAGTTTTATCACAAACTTGTGATTGTCTATTTTTCAGGTTATTCCAGTCGGTTGCACAGTGCTGCATGGGACAGAAGCAGGCTCAGCAAGTAATGGAAGGGACAGGTGCCAGTTAGATGGAACTGCATCTCTGCTGTAAATGTGTCAGCCTGGAGGTCCCACTGCACCAAGTTCATAAACTGGCTGAAGAATCCTTTCAGCTCTTCCTGACTTTCCCAGCCCTTTGGTTCTCGGGTACCTGCCCCAATTACTGTTTGGGTCAGCTTCCTGTGTATGTGGGCACGTTCCAAAGTTTAAATGCATTTTTTTGACTCTTGGCCAAAATTTAGAAGATGCTGTGAATATCATTTTGAACTTGTGTAAATATATGAAAGAGAAAACTTTTGTCTGGAACTTCTTGGGTTTGTGCAAAATGTGTCCAAGGCAAGTAGATAAACTTGGTACCTGCCCAGCTTGTAACTGAAAAGGCTGCTGATGCCATCCACTTGTCTGGGGACAGAACAATACAGCTCCATGTCTTCTGACATTCCTGGTGTCCCAAAGAATAGCAAAAAAAGCCAGTTTAAATATTGTGTAACTTATTTTTTTAATGTGGACAGGGGACCTTGAAAATCACAAAAGTTGTTAAAAATGTGTATGTGCTACTATTTGGTATGCTTAGGGGACATGGGAAGAGCTCACAATTGAGATCCCATGGGTTTTTGTTTTGCCTCTTCCCCAAATCTAAAGCCGACTGCTGGGAGAGCATCATTTTCTCATTTCTACTGGAGAACCTGCCCCCTTAGGCCCTGCAAGATGCAGTCAGCTCTTTTTATAACGTAAAACCGGACCAGGCCTAAAAGTGCCCCTTTCTTCTGATCCTTGTAATTTGTGGGAAAGGGAACTAATAGTGTATGAATTGCCCTTCCCCATTATCCCAGTAAATAGCCCTATATAGGCTATGTTGAACAACAACAAAGTCAAAAGGACCAATACAGCCCCTTTTGTAAGCATTTTGAATGTTTTGTAAATGTATTGGTCCACGTGTTGTATTTTGTAGCCTTTCTAGTTCCTGGGCTCTAGCTCCCATTACTTGTATGTGTATGCATACTGTAGTCAAAACATTAAAGTCATGACACACACATGACTCCACTGTGCCTTTCTCAGTAGTAGCAGCAGCCAGTGCTGGTGGTGAGGAAAGTGGACAACCCAGCCTCGCAGAGCCTGTTGCCAATGGGAAACGTCACTTCTTGCTGCATGGTAGATCACTTACGTGAATCTGGCATCTTTAAACAAGCAAGGAAGTGAATTTTGTAGTGTTTCAGCAGTAGAAAAATCATTGGATCAGGTTTCTATGGTTAAATAATTACAAAACATTTTTCATACCCTTTGTCCCCATGGAGTTTTGATATCACATATACCTACTTGTTTTAAAAAGTTTTTAAAATTTACAGTATTTAAAATAAAATATACCTTCATAACTCAAGTTTTATGGCCACAGAGGACAAAAAGTTCAAGACTCAACAGCAGAAATCTTAATGGGGCTTGAATGTCATTGGTGGCTTAGGGTTTCTTCCCTTACCGGTGGGCTGTGCCATGTAGAGGAAACTTCAGACTCCTGAGGAAGTACAGTAGTTGTTGAGTGCCAGTGCCATATCATACCCTCTAACAGAAAATGAAGTCTTGGAGTGGGGGGATGCTTGCTCAAAACAGACCCAGGTCTTCCTTCAAAGTCCACGTTGTTATTAAATGCTAGACTACAACAGGAACCTATTACTATCACATTTCTTCTAACCTTTGGTTCAGACTGAGAACAAAACAGCTATAAAATTCACTGATCTTAGCAATCTGCAAGTCTGCTGTACCCAGTCCTTAAACAGGTCACCCTTATCTCAGTTACCCCTAGCACACCACCTTTGTTACTTTTCCTGTTGGTATTTATTAAAGGAAAAGCAAAAGACCCAGATTTTCCTTTTTTTCAAGCATCAATGAATGCGAGCTTAGAATAAAGTTCTTGTGGATGGTGTTTCAGGCAACAGGGAACCTGCTAACTTGTCAGTTCCAACAACTGGTGTAAGATCATCTTCTGACCATAGCGAACCTGCAAGGCCTGCTGTTCCCTCGAGCTGAGTTTGGTGTAGACCTCCTTGTTACTTAGTAAATCTTGTTCAGATTTTAAGTCTGTGGCATAGGTTTGCAGGGTCAACAAAACACTGTCCCGAAGCAGCTGTCTCCATGATGCTTTCAGCCTGGGGATATTTGTGACTGTCAAGCTCTCCTCTTCCCTTTTATCATCTCCCCATCCATCCTGGTCTTTAAACTCTCTGAACTCCTCAGCAGGCATGCATAGTACCTAGAAGCAATCATTGGGCCCTTTAATTTTGAATCGCTGAATTTAGAGAAAAGCCAGACCTATCTTGGCAGCATTTAAGTGTCCTCTCCCTCCATCCCACCTTTCCTCTTTCATGTAGTTCCAAATATTTCATCTATTCTCAGACCTTTACCTTGAGTGTGGTGGTCAGTTCCTCTTCAGTGAGCACCTCCTCCCGTCCAATTACAAAGGCTCCCTCTTCCCCTACCATCTCCAGTTTGCATAAGAAATCCCAGCGTTCATACAGTAGGAGCCTTTCAGCTTCAACTTTTGTTCCTGTAGGTAGAAAAGCAATGTTGTGTAAGTCTCCATATACCCACCAGTTCATTTCTTCTTCCATCTACCCCACCCAGTCTACCAAAAAAGGGGCAACTGCTATTTAAGAGCGCTTGGGGTGGGGACACAGACACGTCCATCAGTGTAGTGTGCAAGACTTAATCCGACACTCACCCAGTAATGCTGCTTCACGAACTGTCACCATCTGAATGTCAGCTGTGTCATCCGTGTTGTCGGGATATGGTTCAACAAAACCATACATATGAATGAGTTGCCAATTAGCCATTTGTCCATAAGTGTTGAAAATTTCATGGCCTTTAGGAATGGGCTGAGTGGCCACCATCCGAAGACAATTCTGGGGTGGAAGGGAGAAGCTGGGACTAAGCCCTTCCCTGGCCAACCCACGAAGATAATTTCTGTTTTAGGAAAAGCCTCCGGTGGGTGCAGTTCAGCAATGGGACTGATGATACACCTTCCAACATTCTACCTTTTTAGTTCCTGTTAAGATCCTGTACAGGCATACCTCAGATTATCCAGGTTCAGTTCCAGAGCACCACAAAAGAGCAAATAATGTTAAAAGACAAAAAACCAAAAACAAAAGCCAACTTAAATGAATTTTATGGCTTCCCAGTGCATATAAAAGTGATGTTTATGGGGTGCCTGGGTGGCTCAACTGGTTAAGTGTCTGACTTTGGCTCAGGTCGTGACCTCACCTCATGGTTCGTGCATTTGAGGCCCAAGTTGGGCTTTGCACTTACAGTGTGGAGCCTGCCATGGATTGTGTCTCCCTCTCTACCCCTCCGCAGCTCACGTACTCTCTCTCAAAAATAAACATACGTTTAAAAGATTTTTAATAAAGCTTATGCCATACTGTAGTCTACTAAATGTTCAACAGTATTACATCCTAAAGAACAGAAAAATGGGCTTTTCTTGCTAAAAAAAAATGCTAATCACTGAGTTTTCAGTGAGTTGTAACTGCTGGGATGAGATCACCAGAACAAATGTAGCAACAATGGAAAACTTTGAAATCCTGCAATTCTTGCAGTTATAATTCTTCCAAAAGTAGGACACAGACATGAAGCAAGTACTGTTAAAAAAGCAGCACTGACGGACTTGCTCAACACAGGGTTGCCACAGACGTTCAACCTGTAAATGCAGTATCTGAAGTATAATAGAACAAGGTATGCCTGTACAGTAGGATGAAAGGGGTAAAAGTCGCTGGGTTTTAAAATTGAACAATTAAACCAAGATCAAAGTAGAAATGGCAGATAGAGGCAAAAATTAAAAAATAGCCATTTCCTAAATTTTGATTCCATAAACTTGGATCTGATCTTGGCAACTTTCCACATAGCAAATGGAATTGATATACCCTTGATATCAAGTTAGATTTGACCTATGACCATTCCCCTTTCCTCCCTCTTCTTTTCCCAAAGTAGTGACAGTATATCTGACCCAGGCTGCTGTCCACTGGGCCCCAACACGATCTTGGTTCACTGGCACTACACAGAGGAGCCAACCAACCTCTAGCACCAAGTAAATGGCAGTAGCTTATTACAGAATTAACCACAACTTTCTCTGCGGGTTTTGAAGTTTTGTGTTCTACTTCGTTGGAATACGCAAACTCAAAGTACATAACAGAAGAACTTCACCTACACATTTTTAGCCTGAGGAGAATGGAGCCCACAGAGCCCAACTGTCAGGGCAGGCAGCATCAACGACCAGCACTGGTTTGAATCAAATGCCTGATCATCAGTGCACATAATAACAATAACTGAGAGGGATCCACTCACTGGAGAGTATTCTAGATTGGCATTATGATTGGCTAAGTGGTTTAGTATGTCTGCAGCAGGCACCATCAAAGGGGAGTTTGGCTCCTTTTCATCCTCCTCTTCCTCCAGTGGTTCCTGAAAGCTGCCACAGAGAGAACTTTGCTAAAGCCCAGGGTAGGGTGAGAGACTGGGGTGTGGTTCACTGTTCTTTCCCCTCTCATCCCTCAACTGAGATCTAAAGAAAGGAGTCCTTCAAGGTTCGGCTCACTGACCTGTACGCCATCACAAGAGCCACGAGCTGGTGGTAGAGTTCCAGGGAGCGAACCCTGGGGCTGAAAAGATCCGGGTGGGCTTCCATGAACGGCAATACGATGGAATAGTATTCAGTGCGGATGTTGGCCAAGTCCTTCTCCACCGCCTCGGGTACGCCCGTGCCCTGCAGCAATCGCCGACGCTCCTCCTCGGGCCTGCGGTGACACCCCAGCCAGGCTCCCTTCACACACCCTACCGGGACTAGCGCTCGTGGCCCGATCCCCGGGCCAAGGCGGAGCGAGCCGCGAGGCTACGGGGCCGGTGCTCCCCGCCCCCACCAAGGCTCTCACCAGAACATCGGGTGCTCCAAGCGGCCTAGCTCCGGCCACATCGCAAAGTAAGGGCTCCAGGGCGAGGCCGGGGCCTGCAGCTCGTGCAGCAGCGCCAGCAGCAGCGGCACCCAGCCCGACTGGCTCTGCAGCGCGCCTCGCTCTGAGAGAGACACAGAGGTGAGAGCACCGGCGCGGCCCCGCGGCACGCCTCCCCGTCGCACCCCGCCGGCGCACCCACCTTGCTCCAGCAGGCCGCCGATGGAGCAGGTGTGCTGCGACAGGAGCGCGGCCCGCGGCACGGCAAACAGCAGCTCCCCGGGCTGCACGCTCTCCCGGGCCACCATGCCGTAGCCGGCCACCGTGCCCTGCCGGCTCACCGCCACCTGAACAGGGGGAGCGGTGGGTCAGGGCTGGACTGCGCCCCAGCCGCGTCCGCCCGCACCCCCGCCTCCTCACCTTGGGACTCAGCTCCAGCCCCACCCGCCGGCACCAGCTCAGGAAGCCGGCCACAGGGTCCGGGTCCGGGTCGCCTCCCACAGGCCCCGCCACCTGAAACGAGCCAGCGCGGTGGAGACGGTCCGCCCAGGAGAACGCGCGGGAAGCGGGAAGGCATCGCAGCGTGCGCGCGGAGAGAAGTTCGCTCTGGGTGGGGGAGGGGACGAGGAGGGCGGCCAGGGACCTGCGCTAGGGAGCCGCAGGGACGCGCGGGACCGCACTGCGGGCGGGGTAGGGGCGAGCCGCAAGGGAGACGGGCAGGCCCCGCTCCGGCCCCCCGCAACTTACCCGCCGGCGCTTTGCCCTGGTCGCCATGGCGGAGGGCGCGCGACCCAGCCGCTCAGAAGCTCCGCACTAGCGCTTCCGGCGTCCGGGAAAAGGCCTCTCGGGGGCGGGGCCACAGGCCCCGCCCCGGCGCCACGTGACGCGCGCCACGTGGCGCTCGCCTCCTGATCCACGCGGAGGACGAGTGGGGATTTGCACCTGGTCAAATCATTCTTCCTGAGCACATCTTGTGGAGCCCGAGTGTCCCCAGTTGGGTTTAAGTCGGGTCCGATAAGGCGTGTCTCTGTGGAGCCTCGAGCCTGGTTCTGAGCCAGCCACAACTCTCCCCTTCGGTCTCTATGAGCTGAGACATTTCGGAATAGAAGTCCGGGTAAAGAACAAAACTCCCGTTTTCCCGGTACCAACCAAGGCTGTCAGCGCACCCAGGTGGGCGACCAGCCTGCCTTCCTGATCTCGAGTCTCCGTTAGCTACGGTCATCTAACCGTTTTACACGGAGCAGGTTGTCAATGTGCGTGCGTGCGTTTCGGAGTGTGGGGGGTCAGGTTGTGTGTGTTTCCGAGGGGCAGGGGGAGGGTTCCCAGAAGTAGAATAACCGGCCTCTGCCCGCACTCGCTAGTATATCCGTTTGTCATCATTTGCATAGCACATGGTGGGTTTTATTTTTATTTAGATGCTTCTTTATTAGTTGACACATAGCAGGTATGCAATTATGTATTTATTGAGTAAATGAGTGAATGAGTCCGAAATGGTGGTTAAAACCTGGGAAAGTAGCATGCTGTTAAGTAAATGAAGCATTGAATAGAGAGTGTTTTAAAGCCAAACAATGCCAAAGCCAGTTCTCAGCTTTACAATATTATTAGGGTAAATTCCTTCTCCTGAGGCTCCGTTTCCTCAGCTGTGAAACTAATATCTACCCTATGGAATTAATGTAAGAATTGACAAGATAATGAATGTGATCAGAACAGGAAATAGGTGGGGCACATGGCTGGATCAAAGTCGGTAGAGCAGACGACTCTGAATCTTGGGATCTGATTTCAGGGTCCTGAGTTCAAGCCCCAGGGTGGGGGTAGAGTTAAAAAAGAAAAAAGAACCAGAAATAGAAACATGGATGGACACTCCTACATATGCAACCCCATCTAAACCTCAAGAAGCACCAGCCTCAATGCTGCCTTCTCACGAGCTTCCTATGATGGGCCTGGTGTCACCACACTCAAATTCTTCTTAGTTTATTAGTTTTCCATACACTTAACTCTTAATACTTTGACAAGGGTTTTTATTTGTTTTACATTTTGTCGTCTCAAAGTTTCATGACATCAGCCACCAGAATACACAAAATTAGGTTCTTCGCTTTATATAGACAGGAAAATAATAAATTCCATTAAAAGTTCACTTTGACCAAAGAGACAACCTCCGATGGAAAACCACACGCAGGAAGACCCAATATACATATATATATATATATAATGTATAGATATTTATAGATATCTTATCTGAAAGAAGACAGAAAAAAAATCCAAGATTTGCAGCGCTATCTACAGTTAAGAGGGATTAATTCTACCAGCTTTTCAAACAGTCACATTTGATATTCAAAGGAAGCACGTGAGTGAATAGAACTGGGGACAGACTAACACTCCACCAGGCTCTAGAGCAGTCTAGTAATGGCTTAAGATTCTAGAAGGGGGTGATATGTGCAGAAATGTGGATGCAGGTGTCCTCTCAGCCTCAGAGCACCCCACACGCAACTGTCCCCTCCATAGCACTGCCTTTATCATTGCTCTTTTACTTGTTTTAGACTTTGTGGCAATTGATTTAGGCTCCAAGACAAGTGGCTCCTGTTTCTGGGCCAGGAGATTCTCCCTGATGGTGCAGGTGGGTTGGATGTGTGTGGCTCAGTCCTGGGCTTCAGGTGAAAGGAGGGGACTGGGGTACCTGGAGAGCCTTTCTCCTCTGCCTGGACCTTGTTCTCTTTTGGAACCTCCACCTCCCACCCCAGGACCCAGCAAGCCCCAGCCCAAGCCACTCCAACAGTCCTGAGATGGTGATGTGGGCCTGCAGAAGTCTCACTACCTTAGACCATTTCTTTCCAGATAAAATCTCTTCTTGCTTAGTGATGCCCACATAAAATGTTGGCATAGCTTGACCAGAACTCTCCCTAACAACACCATGTTTCTGGTGGCCTTGGACACACTGCTGCTGATTGGGTTGTCCTCCATGGAACCTGGGGACAAAAGAGGGGGTCTGCTGGGAATCTCAGCTACCACTGTCTCTAGTCACATACTGGCTCCTGAAGGCAGACACCGTGAAGTTCTCAGGGGTGCATCCGACCTTCATGGGCTATCCCAGCATTTAAGTTCAGCCCCCAAGTCAGGCCCCTATGGAGATACAAGATCAGGTGACTTTCTACCTCAGGGCCTTGGCTCAGACATGGGACAGGGCCACGAGGTGGTGGAGTGTGTGGGCTGGGACAGTCTGTGGGGTTCCTGCCTGTAAGGTCCTCTGTGTTTGGTCTTCCTGGAGCAGAGGAACCCTGTTCAGCCCCTGCCTGCCTGTCTGCCTGGCCCTACATCACCAGGCTAGCCCAGAGAGCACCAGGAAAACTGCTGCCTGGTCAGAGCGCCCCCTTGTGGCTATGGTTCAGATGATTGTCACATGTGCAAAAGACAGAAACAGATGTGCTTGGTGGGGGAGATGGGGAGAAAGAGGCCTGCAGAGCTCCAGGGCCCCTACCTCCTAGTGCTCCCCTGTGCTGTCTCCTGTCACCCCGGTGCCTGAGCTGGACCCCATGCTCCTGCTGTCCCAGCACACCACCTCAAAACCCCATCCCATCTTCAAACCTGCCCTGCCCATGGGGGTCATCCCATGCTTTCTTCAGTCCAGGATATTACCCTGGATCCTGCCCAGAGAAGGACTTGAGCTCTTTCCTTAGCAGATCCCCTTCCTCCCTGAGCCCTGCCCAGACTGTGGGGAGTTGGAAGAGGGGCCTAAGTCAGCCAAGTTAACAAGGTGAGTGAGGTGGGGGTGGGGAGGAGCGAGCCTCTCAAACCATCTGGAGACCGTTCTGCTGCAGCATCTAGGATGAATCCCCTCACGTTTTTAACAAAAGAGAAGTGAACCCATTTCCTCCCCCGGCCTTCACAAAAATAAACTAAAGGGAAAATGAGCCGGCGCGAGGATGCCAGTGGGACGTCGATGCGGGCGGGGGCAGGTGGGCATCTCTGCCAGGCTAGGGGCTTCAACAGGACACCTCCATGGTGTGATTGACCTGGCCCAGCCCCTCGCTGCTCTCCGAGTGGGTGCAGGCCTGCGGGCGGCTGCCATCCACCGAACCGGCACTGGTGAGCGACGCGGTACGAGAGCGGGCGAGGCGGGTCATGCTGGCCGAGGGCACTGTGGGCAGAGATGGGAACGGGCATGAGGACTGGTAGGCGGGTCTGGGTGCCAGCAGGCAGGAGAAGGGTTGACACAAGCAAAGCGGCAAGACCCGTTTTTCCAATGGCACAGAGGCCCCTCCCAAGCCAGGGCTCTGGCACCTACTCCATCAAGCCGGAGGCATGCAGCACCAGCGAGTGAATGAGCCAAAGAGGGGGGGACCGGGCACCCCGCAGAGGCCAGCGGGACCCAGCTCACAACAGCTGGCCAGAGCTATGGCCAGAATGGGGTCACTGCCCGGGTACCCCTGAGCTGCTACAGGGACGGGACAGAATTCCAGCGATGCCCCCCCTCAAGAGGATGATGGGACAGGGGAGTGGGACTACTTCCGTGAAGAAGGACTAGGTGTGGTGGCCACAAACTGCCCTAAATCTAATTTCTGTCCTTATTTGGAGTTTCACGAGCAAGACGCTCAGGGGCAAACTCCACCTCCCTGAACTCAGCTGGCCATTGGTCCAGCTGGGGCATGGTCAGACACCCTTGCACCCAGGGCCAGGCCTAGGCTTTACCTCTGAGAGGATCTGGTTCCAAATGCCTGAGCTCTGAAAGCCACGTGGCCCATGGCCACCCAGAAGCCAGACTGCTCTGAACCCCAGCCAATCTAGAGCCCTGACATGGGACGCAGCCCACTAGGTCCACGATCTGTGAAAAAGCACGACTCTTTTGGGCTTTAGGAGGCGAGCGGGACACAAGAAAGTTCCAAACCACAGCAAGATGAGGCCCGGCCGCAGCGCTGCACAGAGGAAAGAGCAGGGGGTCCTGGGGTGGGGATCCATGCATCAGGGGAGGGGCCACAGGGCTACCTGCTCCTCCACTCAGCCTTCGGTCCTTCAAGTATGCAACTAAGAGAGAAGACAGAGCCAGAGGGGTGGGGCAGGGTGGGGGGAGACACAGAACACGGGTGAAGAGCGTGATCCGGCGAGGCCAGGGTGTTGCGAGGGTCAGGAGAGAAGACAACAGGACAGGAACAGAGCGGGCTGGGGCAGGGCCAGAGCTTTAGGAAGCCCCCTCCTGCCCACCCACTGAAGCAGCAGCCCTGGAGGGAGCCCTGATCCCACGGTGGAGGCACTCATCTTGCTTCTCCAGCCTGGGCTGTGACCCTGAGGGGCTCTTGGTGACAGGGCTAGTGCCAGCACCCTCACCCTTCTTCCGGGCCCCAGTTCCCCCATGTACAGAATGGGGGAGGCCTGCACAACCTCCTAAATCCTGCCCAGCTCTCAGGCTGCCTGGTGGCATTTTGCCTGGGGTCCTAAGAACATGTCCCAGCCCAATAAGCTTTGCTGGTCTACCCATCCCACAGATGCTCACGGGGCAGGCCCCGGGCTCAGGCCCAGCCACAGAGCTCCTGCTGTGGTTCGCTGTTGGCTTTGGCCTCTCTTTGCCCTACATCCCCACAAGAGGCTGGCAGGCTCCTGGGGGGCCAGAGGGATTTCCACTCCTGGCTGGGCCCCCAGTTTTCCCCCACGGGCGTGTCCTTCTAAGGAGGCACAAGCTCCAGAGGGTAAAGTCCAGGGGGGAAACCTTGAGGGAGAAGAGTTTTGCTTCCAGCAGGAGAGCCAGGTATATGGGGGAAAGGGGAGGAATCAAGGAGATAAAAAGGGTGTGTGCATGTGCATGTGTGTATGTGATTTAGAGGTGCCCATGAGCAGTCTGGGGATATCATCCCTGCACAAGGGGCAGTTTGGAGAGGGGAGGAGAGTGGGCATGGCCACCCCTTGGCCCCTACTCCCTTGGGGTCTTCATATACGCAGCCCCCAGGTTTGGCTGCCTTGTGTCTCTCCTAAAACCCAGGTGGCCTCACTTGCCTTCCTCACGCCCTAGATCCCAAGACCACTCTAATGTCCCTTGCACCATCCCACCACGTGTGACAAAAGCCCTTCTCAGGTGCCATAGGCCTGGCGGGGAGCTGGTGGTATACATGACTCACCTGTAGGCAGGCTTTCTGGGCAGGACTCAGCCCTGGGCTCTTGTCCCCCAGGGCTGGAGGAAGAGCCTTACCGCTCCAATGCTGCTAGGAGAGCACTGTGCCAAAGCCCCTCCAAGAGCGGAGGAGAGCCAGATACAGCCTAGGATCATCTACTTACAATGCAGGTGGAGACGCCCTAGAGGGTCCCCCGTCATGTGGGGAGCATGTGGGGAGTGGCACAGCATGTGGGCCCTGAGAACACAGAGCTCATATGCCCACAGGCTTAGTGCCACCTGCCACCGTGTGCCAAACCCACTTTGCTGCCTGCCCACCGGTCTCTAGGGCGGGGGCAGGGGGAGGTATACTTACTGTAGCCCATGCCTTGCAGGAAATATTTGAAAGCCTCAGTCAGCTTCCCTGGCTGCAGGACAGAGAGACAGTACATGCTTTGACTGGCTGCCTGGGATTAGGGGAAAAGGAGGCTTCCCCCACTTGGGCCAGATAAGGGAAGGAGGGCCAAGAGTCTCACCTGTGTGACTTGGGGGAGCCCCCCGGAATCTGCCATCTGCAGGGAAGAGAAGGGGGTGAGCTGAGCGGGGGCCACCCCACACCCTGCCCAAGCCTCGTATACCTAAACAGGCTGCGCTGACCCGACACGCTGTCCTGTTCCCGCCCTGGATGGGACCCCAGGCAGGCCCCTCCCTGAGGCTGGGCCCTTGGCTGAGGAGCTGGCCTATGGCTGGGGAAGAAGGCCTCACCTTCAGGAAGGTCGTGGTGGTTGGATCCAGTTTGGAGTTGCACTCCACCTAGGGACAAGGTCAGCAGAGTAAGGCAGCCCCAGCCCCCGGGGTATCAGGGGAGCCCCTGCCCCAGTTGCTAAGGCAGGTTCTATTCCCAGAGCTGAGAGGCTCTACTCGTGAGAAGGGTGTGCAGGGGGCAGACACAGGCTGGCACCGGGGCCCTGGCTGAGGCTGCCCCACGCCCGCCAGGCTGCCTTCTGAAAGTCAGGCCCCTGCAGATCAGGAAGCAGCGCCCCAAGGGACCTGAGATCCTTGGACTCCACTCATAACTGCTGGCCGGACGATGTCCTCACGGGGAGCCAGGGCCACCTTGGTGGCAGTGGCGGGCAAAGTGCCAGGGACCGCGGGTTCAGGCGGTGAGGTGAGGGAGGGTCAAGGCTCAGCAGGAGACTGAGGCCCCTGCCCGAGTCCCCATGGCCACAGCAGCACACACCGCATTCCTCCAGGCCCTCAAGCACAGGGAGGGTGTGCTAGTTTCTGTCACACGGGGGGGCTACCCTGGTACTCCTCACCCCAGGGACGGGGTGGCCATCAGGTGGTCTGGCCCCAGCTCCCTCCCGTCTCCACGCCTCCCTCACTCAAAGGGTGGGATTGTGCCAGGTGGTGATGCATCATGGCAAGACGGTGGGAGGTGGGGTGAGAAATCCAGCATCCAGTGCCTGGCCCTGCCAGCCAGAGGCCAGTGATCTCTGTACTCCCGCCTCCCACCCCCAGTCAGGACGCTGTCCCTCACTCACCACACCGTCCTCAGCAGGCGCGTTATCCCCGACCACCAGCATCACGGGGCAGCTGCAGACACAGAGGACAAGGGCTGTCTGGCCTGGGCGTGGTGGGCAGGGACAGGCTGGGGGGTGAGGGGCACTCACCGGAGTGTCTTGGCATTGGGTACTGTTCCAGGCCGGTTAATGTCCAAGTCTCTGCGGCTGCAGGGAGAGGCAGAGGTGGGCATCTCAGAACTGGATCTGAGGTGGTTGTGTGCCCCAGGCCTGCCCCTGTTGTATTCCAGCCTTACCTCATCCTCCCACAATGGCAATTATGGCCCAGCATCCCGGGCTGGTCCCAGAGTTGGGGTTTACGGTTATTGAGTTGTCTCAACTATGGAAAAGGCTCTAAGAGATCCCAGTTAGGGGTAAACAGGGAGGCAGGGACCTGCTCTGCACAAACAGGGGTCTTCAGGCCATGTCTCATACGTAACTTCTTCTCAGACCCTGCAATTCATGCCAGGTGGGCCCTGAAATTTGGCTCTCCCTCCCCCTTGAAGCACTCTGACATGCACCACCACCTGTGCGTGGGATTCCTGGGTCGTAGAGGAAGGCAGAGCCTAACCTCTCATTCTCCACTGTTCCTCCAGCACCATGCACACGGCAGGTGCTTAATAAATATTTGTACGAGAAAAAGAAAGGAGGGAAGGCCAGCGGGCTCTAAGGAGCACAGCTTGAAAACCATGGAGTTCATCCAACCCCCCCTCCCCTCCTACAGATGTCAGCCCTGAAGTTCAGGCTGGGGGCATCAGGGATGCTGCCCAGCTTCCCCCACTGCTCCTGGCTGGCCAGTAATGCCCCGGGGGAAAAGGCGTGGAAGAGCCCAGAAACCAGAGCTGGAAGCCCTACCCTACCCTCTGTCCTTCGAGGGGTGTGACCTTGGGCAAGAAGTAACTCTTTTCTTCTTGGTACAAGTTGTTCATCTACAAGCTTGGGAGAGCACGTCTCCTGCCTGCCTCCTTCTGTGACTGGTTGTACCGAGGGGACAGAGGGGGCACTCTGTGGCCTGGTGCTGCGGAGCTGGGCCCCAGGCCGCCCGCACCTGTTGTACATGTTCCAGAAGAGCTGCAGGTTGGCCTGGTTCACCACGTTCCCGATCTGCTGCCGGTAGCTCTGCACCAGCTCTGTGTTGCTCACCAGCTCCTCCTGGGCCCACGGGATAGATGGGGGAGGTGCACGGAGGGGAGCAACAGACAGGGATGTGGTCTCAGACGGGCACAGGTGTCCCAGACAGAACCACCCTCGCCCCATTCCCAGCAAGTGAGGGAGGAGGCCTCCCACGTCTGTCTCAGGAGAGTAGAGTGAGACAGGTCAGATGCCTCATGACCCCAACCCAGATCCCCTCCTGGTAGAAGCCCCAGGTGCCCCTGGGAGTAGACAGAACCAGGCTCTCCAGAGGCTCCCAAGGACCCCCAGTTCAGCCACCACTGCTGCTCCTGTGGGGGCCCCACCCCCTTACCTGGCTGAAGAGGTGGGATAGCACCGTGTCAGGTAAAGTGCTGGTCAGGCCAGAGAGCTGTGGGCCGGGGTGGAGGCCAGTGTGAGTGCCGCCCCTTACCACCACCACCCCCGTCTGCTAGGTGGACCATGCTCACCTTGGTGGCCGCCCAGTCGATCCAGCCTTTGCCGTTGGGGTCAATGTTCATCAGCACCAGCCCCTCCACCAGGTCGGGGAAGATAAGCTGCCATGAGAGGAAGACAGAGCTTGGGAGGCTGGCTAGTATGTAGGGAGCCCCAGCCTTCCCACCTGGCAAACGGGCTGTAAGATGCTGACTCTGCCTATCTCACAAGTGGTTGGGAGGGGCCGAGGAGGACGTGCTCTGGAAGGGCTTTGAGGAGCCACAGACGCCTCCACTGGCTACAGATGGAAACCTGCCTGCCCCCCACCCCACCCCTTCTGGCTGCCTCTGCTCACCCTCTACCCCATTCAGCACCTTTCAGTATTCTTTGATTGGCTTCGAGTCTATGTCTATATCACTGTTTTCCACCCCTTTTAACAGGTCTTTGAATCTGTTTGATCTGTTGTAAAACTGAGGATTAAACATCCTCAATAAAACATTTTGTTTAGGGGCACCTGGCTGGCTCAGTTGGTTAAGCCTCTGACTGTGGCTCGGGTCATGATCTCATGGTTCCTGGGTTTGAGCCTCACATCAGGCTCTGTGCAGACAGCTGTCTCCCTCTCTCTCTGCCCCTCCCCCACTCGCACTGTCTCTCAAAAACAAAAAAATAAGACATTAAAAAAATTAAAAATAAAAATTAAAAAATAAAACACTTTGTTTCTTTGCTTTCATAGAAAAAGAAGCTCTAGTGA